TGAGTCAACAAGTCTGAAGACCATGTTCGTTTCGCAAAAAAAGTCGCGTGCGCAATCAACGATCCACGTGGTTTTACCAGCGAGATCATGTGCCGTGCACGTGGATGAAGGCTAGAAGTCTAAAGGGCATTTAATAAAAACCTGAATACAATAATTAAAAGAACATTATTGGTATTTTGGTGTTCTTCCAGGACTTGGGTCTTCTTTATCTTTTGTAGGTTAAGTTTAAAATAAATTATTGCGAAAACTGGATGTTTTTACGCTATTCTGACGCGATCACAGTACACCAAAGATAAATTAGTCCTTCGATTCGGATCCCGATTTAGTACAGAAACCGATACGGCTTGGATTTGCGATACAATTTACATTGTCCTCCTATTAGACCAAACGCGAACTTCCTGACTTTACTCGAAAATTGAAACCTTTTAGTACTATCGTGTACATTTTTATTGATTTTTTTTTTGTAATACAAGCAGACAAACAAATTTTACAATCTCTAAGTATGGGGAGTGTAGTCGATAGTGCTTTGGTTATTTACCATGTTAACCGCTGCGCCGCAGGAGGTGGTCTATTCCCAATCAGGTTAAGTACAGCACTTAGCATCTAACCTTCATATGGCACAACTTGGGGGCGATACGACATTCCTTATTAAACGCATTATCAGAGATGTTGAAAAAGAAGACATTGTTAAAGACTGCCATAAATGTTGGTATAAAAATCAGTGCCTTTGATTTGATTGATTTCTACTCTCTCTGTAGCCAAACGCCGCTTAAACGCTTGTCTACAGAGAGAATAGAAATCAAAATGTATGGGGATAACACTGACAAAATTTACGTCAATTCCATATAATTTAGTTTTCTACTCTACAAGTAGACAAGCGCTAAATGGCATTTGGCTACAGCTGCTGAACCGATGGTTTGGCGGTTCAACAAAACTAATTGTCCCAATTCCAGGGTACCAGTATACATTTTTTGTGCTAAGCTACACAGCTGTAGATCAGCGAACATCATAAAATGTAATTTCGAAAATCAAGATCCATAATAGGTAATTTACGTATTTACGGTAATTTACGTATTACGGTATTTACGTGTTCATCAATTCCAGAGCTTATCAGATGTGTTTGTGACCATTAATGAACGAATATAATTCTTTTAGAACAATATAATTTGCCTACTCTTTAAAAAAAATGCAATTTCGTATTTTACCAAATAATTGTCTTGGTAGTTTTTGTAAGGTTTATTGACCTATCAGCAAAACTTTAAAGTTCTTGTTGTAGAAACTACTTTCAAAAGTTTTCAAAAAGTTAATCACAATTAGGTAGCCATGCATTCGCAAAAGTAATGTAATGGCAGCTCATCAAGCTACTCCAATCTGTCTACATTCTTTGATAGATTTTGTTTTTCAGTATTTACATGGTATATTTTTTTTCAGAGGGGAAAATCATCGAATGACTGCTACCGCCTGGGTGAGGCGGGAGGGAGTGACAGACTCTTACTGACTAAAAACCACCCCGTTCCTTCTCCTGCACGTCGAGCCGGAGCCCCGGTAACCCGTTAGGTTCTCCGCGACTCCGAATCGGTATCGGCCCTGTTGGGTCCCATCTGTGGTGGTCTGATGGCTCTTTGAGGCGCGCGCGGAACGCGACGCGCCGTACGCTCGGGTCTGTTTCTGGTCGGACGGGGAGCCACCCATGCACGCCGTCCGCAGGCCCGCGCTTACGGTGGCCGGAGATCGTCGCGCGAGCTCCGACGCCCGGTGTGTCCTTCGCGATGGCTGGGTTGCGAGGAGGCAGCGCTTCGCTGCCTCACGCGTCCCGCCTCCTCCTTGGCTAGCATAACTACTTCGTAAAAGGAGGAGGAGAAAGTAGGGTCGCCATCGCCGATCACTTCCCTGAGGGCACGGCGGTGCTCAGTCCACGCAGGGCATTCCCCCACTGTGTGTTCCACCGTGTCCTCAGAGCGATTTACATGGTATAGGACAGAGATGGCGAACGATGGTTTGCCATACCTGGTATTTTTTTTTAAGGGGGGAAAATCATCGAATGACTGCTCCCATGCCATCCCTGGTATAGCAGACACATCACCTGATGATAAGCATTATGCCACCCATGGGCACCCTCAACTCTAGAGGAAGGAGTTACAAGTGTGTTGCCTGCCTTTTGAGGATTGGAAATGGAGGGGTGCTGTTTGGGCATTGGTAACCTCACTCACACGACGTAAATCAACTCAAATGTTGTTTCAAGCCGGTTTTCAATGAGGTTGTGGTATCACGCTGACCGAGCCAGTCCCATACAGAGGTATGGTATGGTAGTGGTATGGCTCTCGCATTTATTAGATTTCAGGTTGTTTGATGTGCTGGCGATTCTACAGACGAAAAGTTTTCATCATTAACAAGAACAATAGATATGACAATTCATTATAGACCTCCTCTGAGGATTTGCCATAATCTTTAGACAAAACACAATATTAAAGGTTTAGAACTATAAATAAAATAGGAAAAAAGTATTAAATGTTTATTAGAACTTTATCATTATTATTTATTATGTAAACTAGAGTGTATGACATGATGTTATGGGACATCACAGATAAATTTTATATGAATATGTTGAAGCCATTGTTTTAGGAATAAATTAGGTTTTAAATTATCTTTGTCACTAATTGTATTGTAGTTCTTACTAAAAGTACAGAATCTGATTTACTTCTACATCCCTGAGCGATCATCGGTAGCCATCTCCACCCATTACATTATAGACCTTATTTCCAATATTTAGGGACTACTTTTGTATGAACAAATGTTGTGAATTTTTTGTAATCGTGAATTTAGAAGTTAATAGGAAAGCATCCTAATTAAAAAAAGGGTTGCAAATTCTTGTTCCGGAATCAAAAGATGCACTACTACAATATTGAAATCTATACAATCATGCTAAGGTCAATAAAATATAAGAAAACAATAATGTCTTCTAGTATTAAAAAAAAAATTATACATACCTATCTTTCTCTTTGAACATTGTGATCTTTTGATTAACACAATAAAGAATAGGAATCGAGTTAGAAACTTATTTTTACTTTTTACATACATACATTTTAATTATTCTAGGTTATATTAATTCTTTGAACTAAACAATTTGTACCATACATACTTCACACCTGGCTCCCGTGGGGTAGGCAGAGACTATGGAATGCCAATTGCTTCAATTCCTACATACCTCTTTCTCTCTCTCTCTAGGGTACTTTTAATTTGGCCCTTCTTTAGATATATCACCAATTTGGTCAGTATGTAACTATCTAAGGCGCCCTTTACTGACGGCCCCATTCATATCCGCTCTGTATAAGTACTTCTTTCGTTACTTCATCTTTTCTACATGTCCAAACCAGCGTAACATTGCCTTTTCAATGCTTATCATTACATCATCTGTCAATCCACACCTTTTTCTAATAACACTAGGGCTCAGGGTTCTCATTTCCACCGCATTAATCCTTTTTCTGCTTTCATGCTTCTTCTGCGACACCCATGATTCACTACCATACATGAGCGTTGGTGTCAATACACACTACATTACAGCAAATTAAGCTTTGCTGGATTTGAATCAATAATTATAATTTTTTTAATATAATAAGTGCGGAGATTAGGCAAACCCATGCAGATGAGATCCTTTCCCTATAGTCAATCAGTGGACAGCTTTGGGCTATGATGAGGGCTATGGCTTTGATTATAATCAAAATCATGTCCTGAAAAAGCTATAATTGAACCAATTTGAAGGGTTCTGATTATTTTGTTATAAAATGATTTAATTTATTGATCAATGATTTCACCAAAAAAGTCAAGGGTCAAGGGAACCTGATTTTTATACACAAAACTTGCACAAGAACCTAAGAAACATTCCTATTATCATAGATATCAAAACAATTGACGGACTATTAAAAGACAAGAGATGTAAACTCTCTGGTATTCAAGTAATTGTCAGGTTTATGGTTATTACTACAGCCACTAGTCACTTGTCTAACTGACAATATAATCTAGAAATTATAGGAAACTAAGAAAAAAAAAGACAGCTATGTTGTTCTGACAGTATGTATAACAGATAGATCTATTCAATGTATTGTTTCGTGTTTTGTTGTTCCTAGAAATTCCTATAATTTTGAATGAATGTTCGGATCATAAAAATATGAATCAGCTAAAATTGCTTTAGTTGATTCATTGATACTTTCATGGGTATATTAGAAGCTGAAACTCTGAAATCAATTAGAATCTATGGTCTTGCCAAGTTTATGTACCTTCAGGAAGCGTATAAACTACACCAATCCTGGTATAATATGCATTTGGTATAGTTAGTAATTAATTAATAAAATTTACAATATTTCTTTCAAATATACATACATACATTTCAAATATTGTGTGGAATCATCAGTTTCCAGCATGATGATATACGATAAATTCATGACTTTGAAGTAACAATAACTACATATTGGTTCAAAAAATAAGCATTTCTAGTGATGATTAGTTAGTTTTTAGTTTCACATAGATTGAATACCTATCTTATAAATGTCAGGAAGCATAAAACAACAATGCCTCGTATTTAAGAATTTCAAAATAATAATATTTCCTTTCTTGGGAAAGAAAACCCATTATCTAGTCATAATGATTCACACTCCTAGATCAATGAGAGTCATAATAAGATTATTAAAGCTATAACTTTCAGTGAACTAATAAGAAATTTTTACTATTTTGGGATTACAATACTTAAGAGTTAAAACATTACATTTTGTAACTTAACATTAATTTGAATTCTATAAAAACCAAATTTTATCGATACAACCCATACGAAGATCTATCTATTACATTAATTTGATTGTATAGTTTTCAACATACTGGAAAGTTGTTTTTCATTCGTTTTGGTTTAATTTGGTTCCTTGGAAAACATGTACATCAAGTGTGAAATCAGAAATATCAAAGCTTATGGAACCATTTCACATTTTCTATTAAATAAGAAAGTGACTTACCGTAGAATTTCTATATGGGCTTCCTTGAGGGTTGTAAGGCGGCATAGGCCTGTGCTGAGGCCAGCCGGGTGCCGGGCCATAGCCCGCCGGCGGCTGCTCATAACTGTTAGGGTAGCGGTGTGGCGGCGCCCCGCTCGATTGCAATAACGAATTCAGCGTGGGCGTGGGGCCAGGTGCCTGCGACACCGCTTGTACCGGGAAAAATCGCGGCTGCTGCGGCGGAGGTCGCGGTTTGCCGGGAAAACCTGGCCGTGGCGCGTAATAAGGATCCGCGCCTTCTGGGTATCTATACTGGCCGTACTGGTCCGTCACTGGCCTGTCTACGCCTCGGTCGTGGCCGGGCGCCTCGCCACTGTCGCGTGGCTGCCCCGGTTCGGCCGACATCGGCGATTTGCTCTTTGTGTTCACGACGCCATCGGGCGGAACGCGCCCGACGGACTTGTCGGTGCCGTTTTGCAATAAAGCGTTCCGAGATTCACTGAGCTGCTCAGATGGATTCTGCTCAACGTTTACTTCGCTACGCTGAGACTCTGCCTGCGTCGCAGCCATGTTCGGCTGGCAACGGCCGTCCCTGCTTACACTCGCGCTGGCGATCGACCGGCTCGCTTACGTTACATCGGAATCGGGCGTCGGATTGCAAAACCGCGACGCGGACACTTCCATCACTAACAAGAAGATTAACTATACACAAATTGTAACGCGAAACGGACGAATTATCGTTCACCGACGCACACACATCGATCACATATCTACTCCATTGGCGTAAACGAGGTTAGGGAAAAGGTTACATATCTAGAAGGCGCTTTTGTCACGCTATAACTGAACATTTCATATCACTATCACGATATTAACACTCCGTATACGTTCACTTATGACAAAACTCATTCCCAAACCCACAACCAAGTAAAATCCTTAAAAACAGAACAATAGAATCACGAAACTTCCAAAATTATTAGCGTCCGCCATTACGGACTTGAAATTCTGCGCTTGACGACGCTTCTGCCTATGTTCACTCCGGTTACAAAAAAATATTTTTAATGAAACTTTTACCACAGATAGCTTAAACTAACCCTAATTAATTTTCTAGATATTTTTTTAGTTATAATTAAACTAAATAATTAGCTAATAGTACACTAATTGGAGAAAAATAACCCAAAATTATCTGTGCATGTTTACATTTTTGTACTATTGCGACCACGTAGTTACTACGGCGGTACCAACATAAAACATGCTACAATGTGACAAGTTCCGCTGGCGCCAATCTTTTGTTGCTATATTCATTTCAATCAACCAAGATCTTTTTTTACTTCCAGATAATTTCTATAATGGTGAAAACAATTAAAATTTATTCAACATTACTATTTTATTTAAATTTGTTTATGTAGATATACGCGAGTATTTAACTCTTTTCTAAAATATAAAAGATCGAATTTAAAATTTGATTTCCTGTCTTATACCAACATAAGAATAAAAATGACGCATAGAGAGTGATTGGAATTTATATATAGTAGATTATCATTGAAGATAATCACGGTTACAATTATTATTGTAAATGTAATCGAATAAACAAACTATCTTTCACAAATTGACTAACTTTATAACAATAATAAGTAATTATGTACTGATAGTAATAGTCTGAAATTGAACCTAAATGTGTTTTAGCGATTTGTAGAGTCTTGTCTATGAAAACTAGTCTGACGCACGAAGCAAAGCATTGACAATTGACATCATTGACCAAAATCTATACTGATATTTTAGTCGAGTTTCACTTCGGTATTTAGTTTTTTCTTTAATTTGAAACATTTATATAAATAAGTCTAATTATTTACACTGCTACGCGATACGTGATACTTACGGCCACTTACGGGCCAGTTGATGCCCACCACTTTATTGAAGCTCGATTTCGGGCCATATTGTTTTTTTAACTGACTTCCTAAAATGAGAAGATTCTAGATTGAGCCGATATTCATTCTTAACGCTGACTAGGATTTCGCTAGTAATAATGTAATAATAGAACCTTTCATTACAAAACCAATCGCACTGTACTTCCATCGTACACATTTTAAAATTGTTGCAGTAGAGTTGCTTTGATTATGACACTTTTTGCAATGAGTAGTGTCGTCATAAAATATTTAAAAAAATACGGTTCTCTATTGAGTAAGACGGGATGACTTCTTTTTTGGGAGATAAAATCACTGAAAGACTCCTCTCGCGCTCTCGAGATCGGGGGAGGCGAGAGTCAGTCTCTTACTGACTAAAAACTGCCCCAACCGAGCCAACTCCTCCTTAGAGTCGGACCCATTTCACAAGTCTTTTTGACTGAGAATGAACTCAGTATTGAGTTTTTATGTTTATTCATAATAGTCTACTATGAGATCTTGATCTTAAGAAATGTAAAATTGTTTAGTTTAAAATATAAACGTATCCCCACATTTTCTCCCGTGTCGTGGATGCATTTACACCGTGCGGAAATCGAACCAACGACACGTTGCATGGCAGACGGTTGCCCAGCCACCGCACCGACGGTGCAGTAGTGAAGGACATAATAACAAACACAGAGCTCATTTTAAAATTTGATTTATTTTCATGTCTTCGTTACACAAGTTTTGTTACTTTGTTTGTAAAAATATGTTATCTTCACCAATGTTATAATACCGAATATAATGTTCCATTTCAATTGTTTAGTACCTGTATGAACACAAGATTCTATTGCTACTTTACATTTATTAACAGTACGTCTCGTAATAAAATATGAAGGTTCACTCAAAGAGGTGGTAATGTGGCTTCTTGAGGAAATATTTATATCTAAACACCTCGCAACATAATCACACGGGAACATGCTAATTTTAATTGAGCGAAATTCTATAATATAAATGCCAAATATATATATCTCATCATTTCATAAAATAACGTAATATAGCATTTTAATTAAAAATATATAAAAGTACACATAAATTAGTTATGGCATAAATCTATTATCTAAGTATAAAACAAATCTCAAATTTAACCTAATTTAAGTACAAAGATCACGGGTCTTAATTTTTGGGATAACATAATGAATAATAATAATGTGATGCCAGATCTTGCTTGGTAAGCTCGATTGTATGCAGTTAGTAATTCATAAATTTAATATGTACATGGAACGAAGTATTTTATTGTGCTTTATACAATGTTCAAGTTAATTATGATCACGATTTGTATAAATATATCGTCTTGAAAGTTATCAATAAAATGCCAGCAATTAGTAGAGTTAGAAGCGTATTTACAATATTATTTGAAAACCGGAATGTTTCACTCTACTGTCAATAGATGATTTCTCACTTATATAATATTATCAATTTCGATATGCCACTATCAATTTTATACTTTCCGTATTAATACTGCAACAGTCTGAATGTTACTTCGTTAACTTAAATATTTTATAACATTGAGTTTAAGGCAATTTTTCGTGTTTGTAAAGTTTCTATAAGGAACGTGTTTCGTGTGGAGCGACGTTCGAGATAGAAGCTTGTTACGTGTGAACACGTCGTGCTGCGATGTGTCTCAGGACGGTGATGTCGCGCCGCTAGCGCTACAATCAGGAGGAGCCGAACTCTGCCATCCAGGAGAGGTACTTCTGAATGTCTCCCTTGGACACGGACTTGTTGCACTTGGCTAGCGCTTCCATGAAGTCCTGCTTCGTGACCGGCAAGTCGAGTTCTTCCTTGGCAAGTTGTTTGATCTGCTCGGGTTTTAGGCCAGCTATTTTGCGTCGCATCGACATCATTGATGCGTCCCTGGAAAATTATTATAACATTTAAATATTTCATGATCACAAAATACTTAATTTTTCTTTCAACACTTATTTAAACCTTACAGGATACAAAAGCACCCTTACAATAATATACAAGAAATAACAATCACACACAACATTGAAACAAGCATACCGGCAGACATTAGTGATATCAGCACCGGAGTAGCCATCGAGTTTCTTGGCGATAGCTCGGAGGTCTACCTCAGGGTCTAGTTTAACCTCCCGGAGGTTGATGCCGAGGAGTGCCTCGCGGCCCTCCTGCGTCGGCAGTGGGATGTAGATACGTTTCTCCAGCCGCCGCCGCAACGCCTCGTCTATGTCCCACGGAAAGTTTGTCGCTGCTAACACCATTACTACCTGGAGACATTTAAGATGTTATGAGTATCCAAGTAACTTTATTATGTTGATTATAGAGGTAGTGAAATAACTACTTAGTTAACCTAGCTTATCGAATCAATAATGTGTATCAATTGCGTTGGGTATCATCCGCGTAAGGCATCAGACAGTGCCTGTGTTTGTGCTCACATTTTTCCATTATAATCCTGTGTTATGGCGCTCTAATTGAATGAACGGGTGCAACGAACCAACCAATCAGCGCCGAACGCGGTCTCATTTCAATCTCGTTAAACGTAAAACAAACTCGTATTAAGCCCTCTTATCTTGAATCATAACTAGTTTTTGGAGTTGTAGCTTGCTATGTTACTATATCTTACTTTAGCAGGTTCATCCGTAGCAGACCCGAGTCCGTCCATCTGCACGAGCAGCTCGGACTTGACGCGGCGCGATGCCTCGTGCTCACTGTCCGAGCCGCGCCGTGAGCACAACGAGTCTATCTCGTCTATGAAGATTGTGCTCGGCGCGTAGAACCGGGCCTGCAAGACAAATACATAACATTTATATTGAAAGATAGACACTTAGTTTCTGCCTATCACCAAGGGATAAAGAGTAGATAAGTATTTGATGTGCTCGTATGACTAAAATATGAAAAAGTAAACTAAATAAGTATTTATAGAATATAACTAAGTGATGCTTTCTTTGTAAATATGTTATTACAGACGTAGTAATATAAAAACATTGAAAATATAACATTGGTGAACAAACTTAGATCGGAAGACTTAAATATGTTCCATCATCATCAGTCTGCTTCCATCCATTGCAGAATGATTACTTCATAGAGCACACCACGACTGTCCACTTCTCTTTACTGCTATAAAACAACACTTACCATTTCAAATAACAATCTGACTAGTTTCTCGGACTCCCCGCGGTACTTGGAGGTGAGCGTAGACGAGGATACGTTGAAGAAGGTGGTGCCGCACTCCGTGGCCACTGCCTTCGCCAGCATCGTCTTACCCGTGCCCGGGGGACCCACCATCAGGACGCCCTTCCACGGCCGTCTGATGCCCTGCAAATATACACATTGTTATTATAAATGTGTTACTGTTGTTGCCTGCTATGGTCAAAATTAAAATAAACCCAATTTTAAATTGTGAATGCATGTTAGTCGATTAATAAAGATATTTGTTGTTTGAAATAGTATATATCAATGAAGAACAAGCAAGTAAGAAAGTAATATGTAACTTATACATGATTTAGTTACCTTAAAGAAGTCGGGCATCCACATGGGCAAGACTACGGCTTCCTCCAGCAGTCGCTTGGCTTCTGCCAGGTCAGCGATATCGTCCCATCGGATGTTGGGGTTCTTTTGTACTATATCTCGCTCTGTAACGGACAACAACATATTGTATTATTAAATTGATAAATAAAATACTCACTTGGGGTGTAAAGTTCGAATAATGTCGCAAAATTGACAAATAAAAATATGTATATTCTAAGAAATTAGTCCAATCCGAAAACAAAAACTTACAGTGAAAAACATCTATTCCTATAAAGCTGAAAATTATTACAATTATCAAAAACATACATTACAAATTTCCCCATACTTATACCCATACTTGAAAAAAAAATATCCTCTAGGTCGGCCGTTACAAAAATAGAATTTTCGCGATTTTTATGAAAACAGTAAAACCCTTCTTGAACCAAAAGTATTTATGAATGGAGCCTTAAACACTTATTCACAACTCCACAAACACTGACATCTTAACACAACTTCTTCACTCACCGAGCATATCAACCAGGTCTCCATCAGCGGCTGACGGTGGCTCGAACCTCCTCTCCTCGTCCTTATGTTTCTCATCATCAGTATCACCGTTGTTATTGTCCCTGTCTTGCTTGTCCTTATTGCTGTGTTCTTTATTGCTTGTATCCTTTGTTTTTGCTGGAAAACATGAAGGATAGAATTTGAGAAATTGATGCAATATAATATCACCATAAACTTGGGAGACTCCACGCCTGGGCTATGTTTGGATCGCCAAGTGTGTATTATAAAGAAGAATTCGTTTTTTATACACGCTTGGAATATACATAGGTACATTATTTCATAGGAATTGATATTGAGAAATATCTCTAATTACCAACTTTTTAAACTCAATGTCTCTCCTCTGAAAAAATTCTTTACTATTAATAAACATATCACATTACGCCTTTTGATCCCCAAAGGGGTAGGCAGAGGTGCAAATTACAGCACTTAGTACCACTGTACAATTTAACACCTACTTTTCATTATTTATGTTATGACTCCCATTAATAGGGGGTGAGCCTATTGCCATATTCCTCATCTAACTCAGTTATCCTTCACTATAACTAAAATGGATACTTATTTTAATACCTTACACCTTATTCAAATTGCTATTAAAAAGTCAGGCTCTTATTTCTCGAATTCTTACATACAATTCATTCAAACAAGAGCTTAATATTATAAAACTTGCCTTCTAATCAAGATAAAATATCATTTCTTAATTACAGAATGGCGTAACAATAACACAGCGATTTATGACACGGCTATAAATAAAATTGTAAAGAGCTATACACAATAAGTGTAATATTATTGCAAAATCTCTGTGCAGTGTACGTGAGCGAACATTTTATATTATCCCTTAAAGTTATTATAAACCTACCATACAAAAAAATGATTGAAAGAAGGTGTATTACACACAAAACTATTTTACTTGTCAAAAATAAGCTCACATCCTTTAACATGGGAAAAGGACAATGGTTTACCCCCTTCAGGAGTTAAATAAAAGCAGGATGCAATGTTATTCTACACAAAATTTAATTTATTTGTAAATCAATTAACTTCTAATATTAAACACTAACTTCATTTGATTTTTAATGGAATTCGTTACATTTAAACGAGCTCAAACAAAACCTCTTTTGACTTTAGTAACAAAATGGGCGCAGTTCTGAAAATATTACATATATACAGTTCGAATTGATAACCTAGTATGAGCCTCAAGCCGATTCGGAGTCGCGGATATCCTATGGGGTTACCGGGGCTCCGGCTCGAAGCGCAAAAGAGGCACTACGTCCCGCCTCACCCAGGCGGGAGCAGTCATTCGATGATTTTCCCCCCTTAAAAAAAAAGTATGAGCCTCATACTTTCCTAAGGAACAAATAGACAGTCGGTGTAATAAACTCTGTGTTACCTACCATCATCAGCTCACACCTAGCTCTCATCTCAATACTCAAATTAGAAGATGCGTATCAACCTTCTGATCTTAAACCTGCACTGCGTACAAAGGTTTTTGTACTTGTCCTATCGCCTTGTGTACATTTTTTATGGAACTGTGCCGCGGTGAGCAACTGAGCACGTTTTACGGCAACACTGAGCAAAGATCCATTAAATGTTGATGTAACTTATATTGACACAGGTAAAATACACTAAGGCAAAATTGGTTTTTGACAAGACTATGTTACTTTAAAGATTAGGTAGTTAGTTGCCTTTGAAGCGATATAAAGTTATTATTGTATAGTGTAGTTTATCTTTGATAAAATATATTTTTTCACGCCTTATTTAAATGGGACTGTACCATTACTGCATGGTAAAAAGGGAGTTAATATTGAATGTCGTTGGCAAAAAATTACACCATGTCCTGTCTGAGAATTCTTAAGGCAGTTCTTAATTTTAAGTGTGGGAGAGCCATGCTTCAGCACGAATGGGCCGGCTCGACCGGAGTGATACCACGGCCTCATAGAAAACCGACGTGAAGCAACGCTTGCCATGTGTTATTCGTGTGAGTGAGGTTACCTGAGGCCCAAGTACCCTCCCCTTCCCCAATCTCCCCAATCCCTGAATCCCCAACGATCCTCAAACTCCTAATCCCCAAAAGGCTGGTAACGCACTTGTAACGCCTCTGGTGTTCCAGGTGTCCATGGGTGACGCCGATAGCTTACCATCAGGTAATCCGTCTGCTCGTTTACCGGCTTATGCCATAAAAAAAAGCAAAAAGTCCACCTTTGTTCATATGAGCAAGAAATATAAAATAAAATACACTTTCTATGCGATCCTCAAACGAACATAAAACTAGATTTGCGATTAAATTACAAAATACCATGGAATCCTTTATGTAAGGGTTATACCGTGGAGCACGAAGGATCATGGTACGCATACAAATACATCCATAATAGTATCTAATTAGAATAATTAGTAAACATTGATTCTTGATCGTGTATATCTATTTCTGTCGGCATTGACTACTTACTTCCTATATGAAATACTGGTTTCTACCAACGGCTTCGCCCGCTGTCCCGTGGGTTAAACATAGCTTATTATGATATTCCAGACCATAATCTACCCCTAGATTCTAGTTCTAGATTTCATACAGACTCCTTCAGCTGTTGAATTACGTGATTGAGTAATAAGTGTACACACAATTCACAAACTTTCGCATTTCTAATATTACTAGGTAAGTAAGAGCAGAAGAAGTTTTGTAGACTATGTTCCTCGGCAATTTTCATATAAATCTGATCAGTCGTCTTGACGTGATTAATTAACTAATATCCTTTTAAACTTTCACATTCAGGTAAAATATTTGTGTAGATAGAAACACATTACTTTACACATTCTTTTCTGTATTTTTTTTAAGGGACAAGCCCGCCACAACCTCCCAAAACCGCTGCAACTCCTGTAAGCCAGGATCTACAGTAGATACAACCATGAAAACACCGGAACATTGATTTTTTTCTGTATGTAAATAAACATAATCTAAATACGTAAGTGTCCTTTTAAAGTCACTGAATCGTGTGATAGTAACGAGTGTCTTGTCACTAGGAAATCCTATAAAGGAGACTTCGATGTATGTAGAAGGAATGATTCTAGTTTTCTACGTGCACAATACAATATTATGTATGTTTTGTATAGATAGGATATACAGTTTCCTTGCAGTAGTAGTATTATAAAGTAAGCAAAAGGCCTTAGCTGTTGTAAAAAATGATATTTTCTAAGAAACAACTGCTACATTTTGTTCATATTACCTATTTTAAACTAATGAGTTATCCTCAATAAAAGAGGTCACCTTCTTTTAACCATCTGCGGCCTTAAACCGCAAATCTGCCAAGAATTCAGATAGAATTCTTTACGAAATGTAACAATAGTATAATGCAATAAGTTGTAGTAAAATATATTTAGCACTTGTGTGGAGCAGATCAACCGCTAACCACAAGCAATATTATGTAACAAGTAACAACATTGGCTTCCTGTGGTTATTTATGTAAAACAATCATCTAATTCTAACCAGATTACGTTCTGTAGTAGAATGTTAGGTACATATTCATTTTCTATTATGGAATCTAGAATTATGGATACAGAAGGAGTAATAATTTCAGTGAAGAGTCGTATTCTACACTAAAAACTTCACTTGTTCATTAAGTGAATGGTAAATGAGGTAAAAACTGGCTTTAGCACTTTAGCTAAATAGAACTCAGATGTCATAAAGTAATTAAAATAAAGGTAATCGAGTTCCATACTTCCGAACTGACTTTTCTGAGAAGAGACACCGAAACTAACTCAAAGGAATGAGGACCTTAAGTTTATATCTTGTAGTGTCTTTTTACAAACTATTATTCATGCATTCTTATACCTTCATCTGTCGACATTAAATTCAGTATAACAGGAAAGTAATAAATAAATACACAAAATTATCCTTAGGTCTACCCCAAAAGTCCCTTGAAATTCATCATTTCAAGTCCTTGCATTTTCAATTTTTTTATGGCATAAGCCGGTAAACGAGCAGGCGGATCACCTGATGGTAAGCAATAAACAATTCTCAAAGTTCTTAAGCAAAAATTATATCCGTTTTAGTCCAGTCATTTCCAAAATTCCAACGTTTGCATTTAACAACACATTTTATGACATAAATTGACTGAAAATTAGTAATATATATATATAGTTCAAGGTATACATACCGCTATGTGCTTTATTTGTTGCATTTTTAGGATTCCTAACATCGGAGGTTTTTCGTTGTGAAGAGGTTGCATTGCGATTGGCAGGTGTAGTCTTTTTATTGTCGTTGCGAGCCGTCCTGGGGTTAGCTCGTGCTGATTTCATTGCGGGAGGCCCTCTGTAATGGTAGACAAGCATTTAGTTTAATTTTCCTTTCATTGCGGGAGGCCCTCTGTAATGGTAGACAAGCATTTAGTTTAATTTTCCTGTAAGGACAATGTTTTTATTGGTAGTTGGAGTTTGGTGTGAATATAGGCACAGGTCGTTATACTCTGTGTTATTGACATATATTAATTCTTGTTGTTTTGTCTCTTAGGTCTGTTTTGATTGGTATAATTTCCTCGTGTTTGAGTTTAATAACTATACCTATCAGCAAAAAATAACTCAATATGTATAAAACTAGACACTACCCTTTGTTCTTGCAGCAAAAAATATAATTCATACATGTCTCATTTGCATAAGGACGAACGCTATACAAACACACACACACACACACACACACACACACACACACACACACCTACATTCACAAATTATAACTATTATCATGTAACTGTACCATATTTTAAGGAAATATAAACATTTATTATCTTGTCATAAACTACGTAATTTGTAGATAAGGTACTTAAGGTAGTGTTTGCACCTGTCGTCATTACACCCTACAGCTTTATTACTTTGTTTTGTAATTAACAAAATAGTAAAAACGAGAACGAATGGTAAAACGTAGATTCTTATCTTATTTTATTAATCTACATACGACTGAGTTAAAAATATAGTTAATGGATTTTATTTAGGTCTTACAAATATAATATTAAAAAATGACTAGAACTAAGTGGTTCTATTTAAAGGTTGCCTAAATTAAACTTGAAAACAAAAGTCATTCAATGGTGTGCTGAGCAATAAAATACAATTATTTCTTCTAACTATAACAATAAAAGTCACGAGATTTCTGTACGCAAAAAATCAATATTCTCAGTGTTGATGAGAAATGTTAAAACGGTTAAACTACTTGGAAATAAAAATAAAAATACGGAGACGAAAAATACAATAAAAAAACACAGGACATATTATCAGACAAAATATTCAGTTCTTAGAACTGCTGGTGACTAAACAGGACAGCCAGAAGCGACATCGTTTAAAAATAAGCGTTATAACGTCTATCAATATGCAAAATCGAGACAATACATTAAACGAAACCCATAAAAGCCTTTTAATTAAAAACACCTGCATAGAATCCTACTTTAACCATCGAACAGCTGTTCCATACAAATATTTGCATCAAACACGATTGACCTTCGGATCTTCGGCATATTGGCGCCAACACTACCATTTCCGAACGATTACGAAGTGACCCGAAGATGTAACATGACCATTTTGAGTAAAACTGCTTTCAAAATTAGTGTTAACTAACAATTTTTCGATGTAATTTATGATCAGATGAGTTATGTAAACAGGATATTGTGGTTTCTCATAGATATTTGACTGCGATTTGGTTTATACAAGGCTTCGTTGAAGTTCCTAAGAAGAATCCTAGGTGATGATTGTTTGGAGAAAAAAATAGAGACTGAACTTTGGATAAGAATTTGAATACCGATTAAGGTCAAAAGCTTAGCTTTATTATAATAGATGAAAGTTTTCTGTCACATAGAACTTGCATAACAAGAGAAAAGTATGTGTGGACACACACTAGGCACTGCGTCGGCAGCGAACTGGCGCGATGTGAAATTACGTAAACATATTTAGACTAAACCTAAGGAATAGAGATAAACTTTACTATTGTGTTCATTATAAAAACTGAAACCTTATATCAGAGACACATCCCATTCACATAGGGAATCCCTTGCCATGCAAAACTCATCTACTAAAGGACATCTGCTAAAATCAAATGGTTAACTGTGTTAACTAACTTGTCACTCATTAACTTAATTTTAGCAGCTCGCTAAACCACGTGGCAGTTAAAGAACCGACAACAAACACGTGTTAACAAATATAATTGTCCCTTTTAGCTGCGACGTGCCAAATGGTACACCTCTTATTAACCAGTCAGTCGTCAGAAACATTAACTATCGTGTGACAATAACAACTGTTTTTCTTGAACCAGATGCATGGATATTCAACATCATCATCAACAGCCACTGCGGACCAAAGGCCTTTTTCACACGGAGAAGATTGGCGCATTAATCGCCACGCTTGCTCAGTGCGGGTTGGAGATTTTAAACTTATAATTAGAAATAGTAAGCTTAGGTTTCCTCACGATGTTTTCCTTCACCGTTTGTCAGTGATGTCTAAAAATAATCTTAGAAAGTACATATAACTCGGAAAAAGTGATATACCGTTGATCCTATAAGCAGCAGAGGGTTGATAAAAACTAAGGATAAGAGGGTCTTGGGTTCAACTAATTCAGTATTTGTTGTCATTAAACAAATCTACATGCATAGTTGACCATTTTGCAACTTTGCAACTTCAAAGTCAACTAGAAAACCGTCCTAAAACCAACATATTCACTCATTAGTAAATTGGTGAACCTGTTTCAAGTTTCTATACTAATTAAGCTACACTTTTTGCGCTACATACTTGTGTTCTACGCTGGTGGGTGGGGGCCACGCGTTGGGGTCTCTGTCAGGCGGTGGGGGCCATATATCGGGGTCGAGCTCGTGTGGCGCTGGGGCCCACATCTGGTCACGTGTTGGTAGGTCTTCGTAGTCTGCAAAGAAGAGAAAACGGTTTTAGTTAGAAGACTGACTTTGTATAGTAGGGATATTCTTCTGCTAGCGCAGCGGTTTTACCAGAGCAAAAACGACTGTCTGTATCTCTGTGCCTAATATTTTGGTCCGTTCAGTAGATTTTGCAATAGATAACAAATGTTCATCAATCAACTTTACAAAGTTTCGCTTTTATAGAATAAGGTAGGATAGACTTTAAAATAAACATATATTATAAACTTATTATTAGTAGGATAGTTATTTATTATAATGAGTATATCGTCGATTTCCATTTTTATTCCACAGAATTGAATCATCAATACCTAAACCCAATGAACCGCAAGCCGTTAATTGACATCCCGTTTCTTGGAAGGCGGAATTGAATAAGTCGTAACAATTGCATTAAGGCGACACAGCTGCAACAACTCCCGTGCAAGCCAATAAACCCTATAAAAGGGTTTACCGAACACGTGTTTAAGAATACTTAAGCACTTTGGCACTAAATGATATTGAAATAGGGTAAGAGCACTTACAAAATTCAAGTTATCTGATAAGTAACTACCTCGTTAAAGAATTGAATAACGTATTGAACGCAATAAATCCAATATAACTCATAAAACACGTTTCATTGCAGTCTCAAAAGTACACCAAGACTACAAGACAGACCCGACTAAAAGTCGTCGAACAACTTTCAGTCATTACCTCGGGCAAAAGTCGTCTGTTCATAATGGCTTTAAATTAATTAAATGGCGAATAAATTACCACGATGGTATACGATGAAGAAACAGGAAATTGGCAGAATTGCGGGAAGTGACCGGTTTGTAGAAAAAAAAGGTCTCGTGTGAAATACGAGGACATTAATTTCCTGTAGAAGGTAATGTTTTATCTGTCAATGTTGATGCAGATTTCAATCCTTGCCTAGGGACTAAATTGACCTTCGAACGTTTGCTTAGATTTACTTAACGCTACGACAGTTAATTACTCTTGGATTCTTGTCAAGCTTTTGTAAGAGTTGTTTTGTTCGAGACATATCTGCAAAAGTACTTGACACACTATCTATTTACTGATTTTGGACATTCGGTTTCTGTCTTAAATAGAGCCTGTATTATTACTGGATGTTATAAAAGCACCTTACCTTTTAGTGAAGCTTACAAAAACACATGTCCGCATATAAAAAAACTAGACAAAATCAATGTTTCCGCAATTACCGTCGGACGTGGCCAGAGAAAAAAGTTAGGGCCATTCCACGCGTGTATCTAATTCATTATCTAACAAAAATCGATAGTCATCTAACAGGTTTTAGTCACCGTATCTAATGGCACGCGTAATTGCGTTTATTGAGATTTAATGATTCACAGGGAAAGCCGTTACTTAATTTTATCTTTCTGACACGCTCGATTACCCGGCAATTTACGCGTAAAAATGTCACCAAGTAAAATCCGGATGGTACAGTAATTGTACCCAGTTTAATTTGATTGGATTACGGCTTAAGCCTACTAATAGCGCCAACGTGAAAGTTTGTGAAGGTGAAGACGGATAAGAGATGAATTAAAACAAATAGGAAAGCACTGCTAAATGAATCGAGAAGGGTGTATAAATACATAAAAACCTAAGGCACCGGGAAATTTAACATGGATCGTGACCATTTCTGAGGAGAATTAAGTGTAAAAATACACATCGCACAATAGTCTTGAATAGTCTAAAAAGGTTATCAAGTTGGGTTTCCACTTACTTATAATATAGGTATGATCCCGCATTTTGATGTCTATAAAGTTAATGAAGGGTATCGAAAATGCAAACTATGTATACGGGCTTTATTTAATTGATAAGATTACATTTTAGCAACAGAAGTCTTCTGTGGTCTTGTTCTAAAATGCAAACGATGAGTCAGTTACAGGTTACAGGTCGACATTTTAACCTTACCGTCTCGAACTTCGAAGTCGTGCCAACTGATAAAACTTAGTCCAATTTATCAGTATAACGACCATATTTGTAAAGACCACTTTTGGTTTCATTTTAAGGACTTAAGGAAAGTGTTGGATTGAATATGACGAGGGTTATTAAATATTGATTCTGGCGTAGTGCCCAGTAACGTAACATTACCATTTTTGTAGACATGAGGAGCCAAATTGGGTCCTTATGCCGTCATCAGTAACCTTGAAATGTGACCAATAACATTGATTTTTATGTCCCAAACGTAGTAATTATGGTAATTATGTAACGTTTGTAGTATCCAGTTTAGGTTAGCATGTTTGTCGTCGCGTCTACGCCCATCATACTAATAGAATTATTCATCAGGAGAGAATATCTGATATCTAGGAATCTAGAAATTATATTAATAATCAAAATATCAGAAAGTTTGATATCGATGAGAAATCCACGTTAATTTATCACTTTCTAGATATTAGCCTGATTTTATGACTTCCAAAACTTGATGACACCTAATCAGAGATAAAATCATGACGATTCAAAGTTACACCGACCTGTTTTATGCGCGACTTGACGAGACGTTTTGGGAATAGTAGCGATAAATTCTAAATTCGTACACATAATGGGTCTAGACTGGATTCGTCATAACACAAGTTGCCTATTTCTGAAATGGTTGTAAGATCTTGTAGCGGATAATAAAAGAATTGTGAACACAAAGGAGACAGGATGAAAGCCAGACTGATTCAATTTTAAGTGCATCTTTGAACTTGGTAAAATTACATTGTGACCTTCTTAGAGTGCAAGGACAAAAATGGACACCAACAAGCTTATAGGTAATGCTAAATTTAGAATAATGACTTTAAATCTACTTACTACACTAATGTACGGAAATGATAGCGTACATAATCGTAATCTAGGCCCAAACAGCGTAAACGTTATCAGATGGCAAGTTGCACTTAAATTCCGATCCATCATAGAATTGAATCTAGGTAATTGATTATTTATCCATTTCACCGGTCATGGATAAGATTATGATTATCTTTTATTTCGTAACTGTTTAATTCTGAGTGTTTGAAGTAGAAGTAGCTGGGGGCTGACAAAAGTCAATATTTTACGCATACATACGTTTATGGGATCAATGAAAAGGGTTATGACAATGCCCAGAAAAATTTGTTAGTCATTGTAAAGATAAGTACCATACTGAAAAGAGAATATGAAAGGCGATAGACAAAGAGCAATAACAAAGACTGAACCGCGGAAATGAAAGATAACAGGCCCATTTCATACGAATAAAATGCGGAACAAGTGAACGACCCCAAAATAACCCATAAAACTTTGTTGTATCCAACAGTTTACAAACACAAAGCATAAATCTGCGGCTAAACAAAATAGACAATTGCGACTATTGCGAGCAAGCAAGGACGGTGCCGTCCCCTATTGTACCACCATGAATGGTGACATAATTGACGACATGGTGACTTTTATCGGTCGTTCAATGGTACCACTGAAGGTCACAGTCCATTACCGTCGTCTTTGGCCTTATGACGTAGGTTAACGAACTTTAATTGATAATTGCCTGTCCGTCCGATTGCTTCACGTTTCACTTTTAATAGAAATCTGGTGATTGGTAGCGTTTTGGTGATCGATATTTTTATCTAGTTTATTGAATGGCCGTGCTAAACAATGGCTGAGGTTTCGTGTTGTGATTGGTTCGATTCATTATTTTCTTTCGTGTTTAGAGTTCGTTTTGGTAAAAGAAATAGTTTGGTGTTGTTTTTATGAGTTTTCGAAGCTGAAGTTAATCAAATGGTTGTACAAATACGTTCGCCCGAAACTTTGTCAGCCAAGAAAAGCCCTCGCGTGAAATGAATCGAGTAAATCTGCATCAAATAGGTACAAGAACTTGGTGAAATATTTTCTGGTTTGTGCCGGAAAACCTTGACAAATTATTATGGAATCGTGATAGTAGACTTCTTTATTGATCAGTCATCGATTGCAAGACAAAAGATCTGACGAATATCACAATTGGTATTGGCATCACCATAACCACAGAAGCCCATGTTGTACTCGCACAAATAGGCAAGCAAATTAGCCTATAGAAATCGAGGCTGGGTATCCCACGGATATTTTAATTCAAGTATTTTTTCATTGAAATTCAACAAGAACTGCCATAGTGGCATTCATGACCATAAATGAGAAAACGAGTACCATTCTTCATTCTCAATAATGGACAGAACCTGTCAATCTTGAACTTCAATAACGGATTTTCTATAATGAATCAAGGGTGGGAAAAAATATATCGTCCACATTCTTCGATACTTTATATAATTAAAGTGTAGTATTAAGGTCGAAATTTGTATCAAGTGTTTAAGGTACAGCACGACTAATTTAAATATTCATTGGACAGTCACTATCCTTACATTAAAGTGTCGTATTATACTGTCTTAAGGTTCATTTTCGGTTGGCCGCCATCTGTCGACCAGAATAGACAAGTTTGGTTTATAATTCGGGGTGGAAGTTCAACAAACTGGTATACTTGGAGAATATTGTAATTTTTCGACAGTGATTATCAAAGTCTACATGAAAGTTTTCCACGAAACATATTATTTATCATTTACCCAATTTCAGGTGACCGTAAGCAATTCTTGGTATAACAATGACGATGTAGTGACGTCATCGTATCGCCATGGGAACTCCGTGGTATTTGGACAATTTATTAAAATAATTGGAACTGTCTCTAATGGTTTAAAATAAAATAATGGCCAAGTTGAGTAGTGTAGTGACCGAAGTGTTATTGGGTAGCCAGGTAGGTTGGTATGATTTAGAAAGTATGAGTAGATTCCGGATTTATGGAGCACCGGAAGACAAAATGTTCCCTTCTAACATACTAAAGTCATCTTTATTCAATTTTATACCGTTGTACGGCCATTGAATGATAACCTCAATCTACTCTTATCGTGTAAAATGCAATAAAAACTCCTTTACATAAGAGGGTTTGCCATAATACTGATGATTTTTTTTTGGAGTGGGGAAAATCATCCAATGACTTCTCCCGCCCGGGTGTGGCGAGTGAGTAAGAGTGTCAGACTCTTACTGATTAAAAACCACCCCGTTCCTACTTCTGCACTTCGAGCCGGAGCACCGGCAACCCGTTAAGTCCTCTGCGGCTCCGTATCGGCATCAGCCCTACTGCGCCCTAATCTTAACGCTTCAAGTACTTTCATAGATTTTTTAGACACCACTGACCTACGGTGAAGGAAAAAATTGTGAAAAAACCTGGACTTATAATTTCTAATTATAAGTTTGAAATCTTCACCTCGCATTGAGCAAGCGTAGTGATTAATGTTCAAACCTTCTCAGTGTGAGAAGAGGCGTTTGGTCAGAGGTGGGCACTTATAGCCTGTTGATGATGATGAGTCGGTTCTTACAACACCCGAGAGAAAAGAAGGGGTGGTGACAATTGTATACTTTTCTACTGTTACCACAGGTAACGGGACTTATTTCAAGCCATTAGAAAAACCAGGAACTAAATATCAGACATTATCAACCACAAATATCTATTATGCAGGTATAACCACAGTAATTATTTCAGACGTGACTAGGCTGAACCTATTGTGTTAGGATATTGAACTTAATCTAGTTTTTATGTTTGTAGTTTGTACTGACATGTGAGTCAAAATGTCTACGACCTGTGTTTAGACAAAAACTGTATTGACGGTTTAATACTAGACCAGTATTTGCTGTGTGGTATTGTCCAGTTTACTAGGATAAAATGTGAGTATTTATTAGTAGGACCATAAGTATCTAAGACCTATTGATATTTATTCAACTGTAGTTATAGATCAGCTTTGAGAAGTGGTTTGAGATTGAGAGACGCTACGGCGTCCTCACCTACCGCCTGACGCAGGTGCTTACCGGACACGGAAGTTTCGGTAGGTTCCTGTTTCGGATTGGGCGGGAGGAAACGCCCGGGTGTCATCACTGCGAGGATCGCCCGGAGGACGCGGTAGAACATACGGTGGCGATGTGTCCTGCGTGGAATGAGCACCGCCGTGTCCTCAGGAATGTGATCGGCGACGGCGACCTCTCGCGTCCGGCTCTGGCTCAGACCATGGTACGAAGCGAGGGGGACTGGGATGCCGTCTCCTCCTTCTGCGAAGCAGTCATGCTAGCTAAGGAGGAGGCGGAGCGCGTGAGGGAACGAACCTCCTCACGACCCGGCCGTCGCGAGGGACACTCCGGACGTCGGGGATCGCGAGACGATCTCCGGCCACCGTAAGCACGGGCCTGCGGACGGCAAGCACGGGTGACTCGCCGCCCGACCAGAACCAGGCCCGAGCGTACGGCGCGTCGCGTTCCGCGCGCGCCTCAAGGAGCCATCAGACCACCACAGATGGGGCCTAACAGGGCTGATGCCGATACGGAGCCGCGGAAGACTTAACGGGTTGCCGGTACTCCGGCTCGAAGTGCAGAAGTAGGAACGGGGTGGTTTTTAGTCAGTAAGAGTCTGACACTCCCTTCCGCCTCACCCAGGCGGGAGCAGTCATTCGATGATTTTCCCCCCTTAAAAAAAAACCATCAGTGTGTAAGAGGTACCAACATAGCCAAATTAACTTTAATTGTCGAAGCAGTTAACCCATCCTGAGCGACAACCACATTTAAATATCCTTGGTGATTCTGACGGTAATGTCACTCAACACTACACCTTGACAAGAATAGCTGCTTTCCAACAAAGGTCTCGCCAACACGAAGGAGACGGACGGTTTTAACTTAAAATGCAAATGTTATGGGGTTTTGTAGACGATGTTGGTATACGTGCCCTATTTTGTATACATGTTAGCTGGTTAAAATAATAGACAATACTTAGCTCAGTTTAACGTGTCATAGATGACTGATGATGAATGATAGATGTCAACTACACCACTGAACTGTTCTGAAGTGAGATGAACTTTCTTTTCACTACTTTCATAGTCCTAAAGATATGGGTATCCGTATATCCTCCGGGTACAATTGTAACCTTCTAGAATTCAGATCAGCTGAAAGAAAACTATGCAATGGAAAACCCTAATTGTATTTCCGAAGCACAGTTCATGCTGACAGACATACCAATGATACATATAAACAAAAATAGCAAATGAAATGGAACAATCAGTTATAAAATTGTCCTGTTTCCTACGGAAACGGGCGATTGACATTCACCATTATATTTTAACAGAGTGCTCTGACCGCATATGACACTGTTCTAGTAATAGAACTTAATGAAGCAAATTTCCCTAGTAATTGTAATTAATTTACCACGTGTAAGGGGTATGTTACTAGGAACTGGCCTTGAGGACTTTAATTTATGAGTGATAAGAGTCATAATGGAGTGTATCGTAGGCTATTCATAGATTTACATCAAAGAATTGTGTCTTGACAGTTTATTATTATTGGTTAGAGAACTATATCAAGTATTTGTCGCCATTTGTGATTTTTAAACTGCCAGAAACTTATCATCATCAGCTGGAATAGGTCCCATGCTGAACTAAGGCCTCCTTTAGAGGGAAGTATCGAAGTTTAGTGACCGCCAAATTCAATAACGTTTCCATCAAAAACTAAGTGCAACATATGGTTCACCGTTGCTTATATTTCCCGGAAAATATTTATTTCAATAGATGATGTATGTAATATACCTTTTGAGTACATTATGCGATCGTGGTCTACCAATACCACAACCCATTAGGGTTGACACGTTAGTTTGGTCAGACCTATTGTCCTGTTACGTAATTCAGTGACATTTGAGTATATCATTTGTATGAACGGGAAAACCTCAAAAACTATTGAACGGATTTTTGTACAGTTTTCACCAATAGATAGATAGTGTGATATTCCTGAGGTAGGTTAGATGGTGAACATTTTTTAAGTTTACTTACTGCCCGCAAGTGGTGTGATAGCTTTCTCGCCTTCGTGCTGGAACATCTGCAAGGTAGCCACCGTTGCTTTCAACTGCTCATACTCGCGTGCCATCTGCTTTTGAACCTGGGGAGGCAGAGAAGATTCGTCAGCTCCAGTTGATTTTCATCATTATAACGTACTTTACACTACTAAATTAACAAGAAAATAGATTAATAAAAGACTTTCATTAAAGCTTCCCCTTTTTTTTTATTTATTTAACTTTATGCAACAAGATTACATAGGCGGGCTTACTGTTTTACGTCAGTTTTTGAACAACATTTTTTTTACACAATTAGTGCCTTTGTGGAATAATTTTCAAGTACCTAAACGCCATAGGGACTATTCTTAGACAAAGTAACATAAAAATGTACAGAACTAAACTCAAGACCTTTGCCTTTTACCTTACCCAAAATTAGTTCTAATTCACTTGTAAATAAAGGCCAAAATGTAGGTGTATGTACACATCTGTCATGGTGATGGTATGTTTATGTTATGTGTCCATTATAAACTAATGGTTTATTTCTACGTGGGTTATGACGAAAACCCTTGTTAAACTGTGTATCACGTCAACAAAACCATATCGAACTTTTCATTATCAGACTTTAGACGTTGTTTGCTGAACTTGGATCTCCTCCATAGACGATATATTTAACTTCTACGTTAACATTTAATGGATCCTGTCGATTTCTTGTTAAAATTAAATGTCTATATAAATCTATACAGATAAATAAAATCAGAGTGTCTGTGTTAAATATTGGAATAACTGCATTTTGAATATAAATACGATACATATACCAAAAATCTCTTTTAAACTTTTTGTCTGTCTATCTGTTTGTACTACAAGCTAATCTGTGAAATGGCTGGACTGATTTCGGCGGGACTTTTACTAGCAACTGATGTACTAAGAAGTGACATAGTCTTTTATTTTGGAAAATTGATACAAAAACGAGTTGTACCCTAAAACTTATATTTATAATTTTAACAGTCACTATAGGAGTGTCCGGTACAGCACTGCTTACCTTTTACGTAAACTAAAATCAGTATTATTTAAATACTAGGTATTCTTAATTAAGACAAGCTTACAATTAATAGCTACCCGACCAAAAGGTGCGGTTAGTATGTGGGTGTAAAATGCGATATTAATCACAAACTCAACATTATGCTTTAACCGCTTACTATGCAGAAATGCAGGTCGAGATAACAGCTGCCTAATTTTAAGTCTAGACTTTAGCATACATAACCAGTCTAAAAAGTTGTTTGAATTTCTATTTGTGATTGACTATGCCGTTGGTTTAGTAGTGGCACCTATTCAGACCTATTGGATGAAAGTAGGTACTGCTGTAGACATCCTTCCAATAGGTAACGTGTCATACGAATATGTTCATGGATATAAAGCAAAAGTTCAATTTTAATTCTGCCTACCTATTTTATGACTGCCTCGTTGGCCGAGTGGTCGCAAGTGCGACTGTCTGGCAAGGGGTTTCGGGTTCGTTTCCCTTTCGAGCAAAGTGTTATTAGGTTTTTTAAAATAAAATTCTCAGTAGTAGCACGGAGTCTGGCATTGTGAATTTGTGAAATAGTGAAAAGGGGGTGTTACATTGTACAGTAAGATGTAAGTACATTAAGTGCACCTCTGCCCATCCCTTCGGGGATAAAAAGCGTGATGTTATGTTCAATTTCAATCTAAGAATTTAAAATGCAATACGGCGAAAGTGTGTCGACAAATCTTAATTACTTAATCCTGTAAGTAGAAAGCAGCGAAGGAATTGTCATTAACTACAAATTAAACGAAATTACTACAACAAACTGCACACCGCCTTCAGGGGAAAGACTCACTGTCTAGAATATTAACAACTATGGACGAAGTATCAACTTTTAGAAGGTAAAAGACTAAAGAAACAATTAAAAAATCCGCAGAAAGTTGTGAACCGAAATTGAATGGAACCTAATATATTTTTAATGGTTTAGAATCGATGGAAACTTTATTTTATTAATGGTTTATTGTGTTTAGATTAGAACAGGTTCACACATGTGGCAATATAGACTAGACATTAGCATCAAATTGAAATCTAATCCACACACCAATCGCTCGCGCAGACGCTAAAAACATTGAGTAACGATGCAGCATACAGCTGCATATGATACGCACACAATTTTCTTGATGTGGGCACAAAAGTGAAAAGACGATCTCTCACTACGATTATCATCACAATGTTCGCGCACAATAAAAAATATCTTAATCACTTCCCACACAAAAAGTCCAATTTGTTGAGTAACATCCGGCGATCACACGCCACATAACGTGCTTATTTTCACCTAATTTAAGCTAAAATACCTTGACCGACTTCTATAAGGAGCAACTAATAACTATATTTAAGTAGGACGGTAATTAAATCTACCCACAATGTTAACAACCTCACCGGTAATTGGGACAACGCGGTACTCGAAAACTTCACGATTCACAAGGTAGTAATAAAACTGTCCGTTAAAATAATATATGCCGTAACACTGTTCAGGTAAAGACGTAAGTGGCGTGCATAATTTTGACAGATCGGCATAGTTACAATGTTGAACAAAATTGGGCAGTCCGTACGCGTCACCGAACGACCGATATACTGCGTTGAGAAGGTTCGTCGACCCGTGCGTCGTCAACAGTTCGCGGCCGGAGTGGCTGACAGAGGCGACAACACGCATGACAATATAAAACAAGCACGACCGACGCACGGCGACAATAGAACAAACGCTTGGCGTCCTTCCAGTCACTAATTTAGACTAGGTGACCTAAACTCAAGTAAAAAGCCTGCGACTCTTAGCATCACCAATCCTGCTATTAATCAAGACGGTTATTACGAACGAACGCTAAACGAGATGAGAGGACGCTCTCGTATTATGTTTTATTGGTTCAGTCAGAAGGAGTTCACGTTGTGCTTGGGCAATACTTGTCTCACTTGACGGTAAAATATGAAGTCTCTCGAGGTAACAAAAAGACGATGCACATTTTCTGTAGTTGCATATGAATAAAACCTTTACAGCCAAGTTCGCTTAGTACATCACACAGATCATGAGATTAAGAGTACATTCAAACCAAAGAGCAGCCGGCATCCACATTATTTGTACGAACGTAATATTTACGTAACTCTGAGAACAATAGAAATGCTGCTATTACTTTTTTACCATCTCTAGAGCAGACTATGGAAACAATGAGGCTGCAAACCGAATCACTGATTTCTTAAAATAATAAAATTCACTTAAAATAAATGATTTAATACCCACTGCTTGGCAAGAAGTTACGTGCTCCTATGCAAATGTATGGAGGTGCAAAAACACCGCATGTCGGCAAAATAGTAAAAGTGTAACAATTTAATTACAAATGATTGGTAATCATTTAATCGATCGATTAACGTTCCAGTGCATTAACATGGAATATTTCTTGTGGAGTTTATATGAAAGAAGTTATTGAAGAATCCGAAGCGAGAATTTTTTATCGATGTTATTATGTCTAGATTGATGAGATAGAAGATTTATTTACCGACTTCAGGGTCTATCGAATAGGATTTTAAAAGATAGATAGTGCATTCACATTGATTGGACAAATTGTAACAGCATAAAATGTTAGTTAAAATTTTTGTTTGTGAACCTGAAAGCCGCATTAATTGAATTACAATCGTCGAATTTCGCTCGAAAACAAAGGATTTTATTATCACAGCCCATTGCAGACTGTAGCAAAACAAAAGGGATGTCTATTTCATTTAATATCTGAGTCCTATGAAAAACAATACACATGTAAATCCCTTGATTGTGGCGAGACTAGTGCTCACGTATGTATGGACGAATAACAAATCCTGTCCTAATGTCCTGAAAAGCAAATTGGCTTTGCTTGTCTACACTACATGTTCCACGCAAAAACTTTCTCATTTAGGCTTTTCTATTACAAAAAGGAGGAGCAGTTTGTTGAAATTCTAAGTTCCAAATTATTATAACTTTTTACAGTACTTTAGACATTCTAGAGACACGAAACGAATAAAGCTAAAAGGAAGGTGTTTTAGTGTTTCTAGGTTACCATAATTCTAAATGTTTATGGGGCCTTTTAAATGTGCCGACTTCGAAAACTGGTTCACACTTCCAGCGTGCCCGAATACCCTTTTAAGTTTATCGTCTTAAATGACTAAAAAAAGAACGAAAATATGTCTGAAATGTTTTAAAACTTTATCAACAGTAGAATATCGTTTAAATGTTACTAAAAAGACGTGAAAACAGAAATTTAGTGTAGAAATAGACGAAAGTGTCTGTATTTTTCCCATAAGTTTCTATAAGAACAATCAATAGATTAGAAAAACGCTTTTTACATCACCCCTCTCAGAAACCAACACGCCGAAACACGGATCTGAGCCAAAGTTAGTATTACAAATTTAATTTAATAAAAATAAGAAGCCGTTCAAGGTTAAAACCGCAACTAGTGCCAAAACTCCATTGTTACGCCGAAGGTCATACATTGGATTAAGTGAGTTACATCAGCAACAGGCTGAATAAACTAGATCTCTTACAAAACGAATTTATTAAGGTTTCACTTGGGCTGTACAAAAACCGTCCACCACAACAAGGACAGGCTATACAATACAATTTTCAATCTATTTTGTGTTTTACTAACAAGATTATTGTGTAACTAGACTATCGGATATCGGATTATAAGGTCATCCGACACAAGCTTGTCTAAATCCTGATTAGCCGTTTTGTTGTGATTATCATTCAATTAGCCCAAGGCTCCTTTTCACATGGGAAGTCCGGAATTTCTAGTTTTCGACCGTTGTAGCAACATATCGCCAGTAAATTAGTTACTTAGAAGTTGAAACTAGTAAGGTAAATAAAGACATTTCCATAATGAAATCGGAATTCTCCCTTTGAACCTTTTTAAACTGTGTTCTACAACCGGACCGCACGTGTGGAGCATCCCCAAAAACCAAATATAGAGGAGACCCATTATCTAGCATTGGTCAGCCATGGGTTGTTTATGATCGGAAATCTGGCTGGATATAGGAATATCACCATGCAGAGCTTTCGAACATTCTAGACAATCCATCTACAAA